TTCGATGCTTCTTCGCTGTGACCCTAGAAAATATGAAGCACGTTGCACTAACGACATCTACGCTTGACGTTTTGGAAACGCATTGTTATCAAATACGTAAGGATATTGATATGTTTCTTTTATTATGATAAATATCTCCAGATAAAAGATATAACACATATGTATTTACAAAGAATATCCGTAACAATTAAACGACAATTTCTGTTCGATTTAAATTCAACTATGATATGATACATATATTTATATTTATATTATAATAAAATTAATAATATATATATATATATATAATATATTTCATTAATCAAAAATTTGAAGAATCTAGAACTTTATTTTAAATCTAAGAATTTAGTTAATAAAAATTAGAAAAATAAAAATATTAAAAATATATTGATAAGAAAATTCATGACTTTGAAAAGCTGATATTATATTGATATGATTTATCATTCGTATAAAAAAGATTAATGAACATTGCACCAATTATCGTTTAAAAATAAAAATAAATAAAGAGTGTTATATTAAAAGAGTATGGGGAAAATATATTTACAACTTTTGTAAGAGATATGAATAATTAATTTGAGCAAATTTATAATTTAATTTAATTTGTATCTTTTGCTGTTTAATATCTACTCTTTCTAATTTCTTTTATTTTCATATTAATAACCAAGATATCGTTTATTTATGTTTATTCATGACAAGAAAATAAATGTTTTGTACATAACACAATTTCAAAAAGAAAGTCATTATACTACAAAAATCAATTATTATTCAAAAATTAAAAAAAATCATTATTCTTTTTTCGCGAAATACTATTTACAACTTTTGTTATTTAAAACTTATTAGAGAGGAATAAAGACAGCAACAATACACTTTAATTAAACAAATCAATGTTACAGTCAACAAATCAATCAAGCAAAGATGTAAATATATTATTAATTAATAATATATTATTTGATATTAAATGAATAATAAATGGAAAATTATTCACATGATTATAAATAAAAAAATATAAATTGTGTATTATGGGAAGAAATTTCACATTGTATATAATAACCTTATATATGAAATAATAATCCGAAGTTATAAAAAAATAATTAATTATATTTTTTTAAATATTTTGTTTTAGTAAAAAGATTCTTTGTTTCAGAAATGTGCTTTTGTTTGGATAGGAGGTAACGATACAACTGCAGGAAATTGCGATGAAAAAGTCGTAGAGCAATGAATGAATTGCACACACTTTCAATTCCTACCAAGAACTATGCTAATTGATATGTAAATATCATTTTTTTTTATTTAATCGAAGCACTGACGTTTTCGTAATTTATCGTTTATTGTATGATATTTCAATCTTGTTTCATTTTTTTTTTTTTAATTTTTTATGTTACAATTAAACATTACTTTATTATAATTTCTATTGCGTGAAGACAGAACGATATTACAGAATATCATGCAATTTCTGGATAAAAATGATTTTATAAAAAAATTAAATAGAAATATGGAATAAAATTTTTTCATACGATATTTTATTTTTAGAGAAATTAATTCTAAATATTTGATTTAAATATTAATAAATTTTAAAATCTAAAAATAATGCATTATTGTATGAACTAAAATTATAAATAAAAACTAAGATATATAAAAAAAATTGAGGCATGTTGTTAATGATAACAAACGTCAATTTCATCAGTCAGAATTAGCAATGGAATTTATTCGCAGACAACACGATCAATTTTTCTTCGCATCTAGAAGGCTAAAATTAAACTCCAATAAGACAAGTTTTTTCGTCAAGTTGGGATAATATTCTGAGAATTCTAAAAATGAACGCGTATAGTTTTGAATATAATATACTTCATTGATTAAAAAAAAGTTTCGTTTAATTACGGATTTTCATCTATTTTTTAAATGCAGATTTAAAGTTTAACCTTAAAAGAATAGCATATGAATAATATTGAGAGTATAAAAAAGATTCAAAGAATTTACTACGACCATATAAATTATTCAGGTTAACATGATAGGGCTAATTTTGAACATCGACGCAAAGTAACGCGCCACGAACGGAAATGGCTGCCACAGTCGAAGATAACAAATTATCATACTACCACTAGCGGCAAGATAGTCATAATACACGATTTATTAGGTTAATTCGCGAATTTTTCAATATTGAGATGAATTATAACATTTATTTATATATTTAAATAAATTTCATATTTAAATTTGTCGAACAATAAATCACTTTAATTTTTAAATTCTATAAAAGTATAATTTAAAGAGAAAATATAATTGCAACAATTGAAAACCATAAAATGAATATAAACGAATATAAATCGTAGCCAGAGGAGACAGTTCAACAATTTTTTAGTCACCCACCAAGCTGAAGTTTGTCACGATAAAATGGAAGCACGTGCATCACAAAGGATACGATCCCTAGGGAGGCTCGAGTAATGCCTGGCATAAAAAAAGGAAGAAAAAAAACACAGATATGGAGATCGAACACATTCAAGTCATTTAAACAAGAAATCTTTTGAGACTAAACAAATTTAATTTATTTCGGCAACAATTTATCAGACATTAGAAAGCCACTTCTACGGTTCAGTGCGTACACGTGAATACACTATAGTAGTTTCTCACAATCACGTATATTGAACAAGAGGAAATAAAGTCACGTTCGAATAAAATCCATCGTCGAAACACACGATGAAATTCACAATATAGTTCGAACGACACTAACCATCGTCACCGTGTCGCGTATAAAGATATCGTGAAACAACGATCTTTGTCTCGTACGTTCTGATGGTATTTCGATCAAGGATCGCGCGTTTCTAACCATAAAAATTCGCAACATATACTTTTATCGTAGAATATAACGATTCTTACCGGATTATCATGAATACCGGTCACGTTCACGATCACACTTAATCGGTTGTGACAGTTGTGAGTAAAACGAATGGCAGTGTTTATACACCGTGAAGAAAGACGACGCGGACAGCCCTCACGCGTACGGTGTACCGCGGGCGACTGGCGCTACTTTCCTTCAACTTTCGACCCACCATGTATTCCAGTGTTTCCCAACGTGGGGAGTAAGCCACAGAGGGGCCATCTCGATATTTTAGAGAAACAATTAATTAAAATTAAATACCGCTTGGTTTAAATGTAATATCTAATATTTCAAAACATAGAAGAAATTTAAAATTTTACAATTTTCTTTACGTCATTTTTAGGAAAAATAAATTAGACCAGATTATAGATCATTATAAAGAAATTTGTAACTTCATTTAAAAATTAAAGAACGTGTAGAGCAAATATTTTGATATATTTTAAAATATAAAAAAATGATAAAAATGAAGTTGGATATTTTAATTAAGCAGGGCAGAATATTTAAGTTATACTTTTCAGAACTTAATGAATTATTATTGTTAAAACATGCATACAAATTTTTGAGATATTGAAATGGAGCATGAATCAAAAAAGGTTGGGAAACACTGATATATCCCTACCACGCTTGTTGTCTCTCTTCAGAAGCTACATTATATCCTTATGTGTTCTATATTTCAATGTGTCATGCAATAAATTTTATTACTATTTTATTAATATTTGTCATATTATTATTATTATTTTATCAGTAAGGTTTAATGAAGGCTATTATTTTCTATTTTATTAATATTGTCTATCTTTAATAATAATTAAAATGTACATCTTTGATAAAAAAAAGAAACAACAATTTTTGTTAAAATGACACAATATTTAATGGAATTCAATTTTATAATCTTATGAAATATAATCTTCATTAAAAATTTATTAGATTTCACATATTAATAAGTATTATTTATTTTTATAAGAAATTTGATTTTCAATTTGATTTTAATATTTTTAATTTGAATTAATATTTATTAAAGTAAACCTTAGTTGAAAAAATCGAGCATAACAAATATTTTGTTCATCATCATTCCTAATATAATCATGATCTGATCACCATAGAAATTCGATGACGAAATCCTAGCTTATTTTAAAAGAATTGCAAAATATATATATATATTTTTTACACATGAATATTTGAACATAATGTTCTTTTCTGCCTCCTTATACTTTGAATATATGTATAATTGTGGGTATAATTGTGGGTATATTCGCAATATACAAATGTCACAATTTATAATCTCAATTATATATATATGTACATATATAAATAAAGCTTTTATATTTTATTTATATTTTATATCAAGATTTTAAAAATTTTTTTAAATTCTTCAAAGATGAATTAAACAAAATTTTTGAAACAATAATAACTAATAACTCATTTTATTATTAATGTTCTATTTAGATTTAAAGCAAATAAATTTGTTCAATATATTGAAGAAATAATATTATAATAATATAAGAAATAATATTACAATTCATTTATTACTGATATTCAGATTAATTTTTAAAATTTTTGAAATAATTTTATAGATTCATAAAATAATTATTATTATCAATTTTTTTTAAATAAATAAATGTTCATTTTATTGTAACTTATTCCATTTCTTGTGTTATTCATTCAACTGAAAATACCCACTATGTTTCAACTGCTCCCGTTTCTATTTATAAATTCAAGGAGCAGTGAATAGCATTGTAAAGAAAACTAAAAATGTTCCATTTAATTGACCACTAAAAAACCATGGATATCAATTATCCATGTTCGACCCTGTCTTTATACATCCGAAACACCCACACATAGCAATGATTCTTGCAAACTTTTCATCAAATTACCTTCTTTCACTTTCAAAATTTAGAGCCTTGGTTGAAACCTTGAATAGTTTCGTATTTTACAAGCTAATAGAAATCCACTGCAAAAATCACTTTAAGAATAATATTAATTTTTTATAAAAATAGAGAATATACATTATCTATTGTCTTATTTTTTGTAAGTTGATAAATTAAAAAAAATTTGCAATTATTATATCTATTTTGTTCTAAAATAAAATTATTAAAATAAAATAAAAATATTATTAAAAAAAAACGAATATATAAATATTGAATTAACAATTTTTATGTTATTAATTTGTTAATAAATTTGTATTGGGATTATTTATTTGAATTTTTTGAAATTACATTATATATTTTTAATCTTATCATAGTATTACAATTATGATTAAAAGAAGTTCAATAATTTAAATATATTGCAATTTTGATATAATTCATAAATATAAAGTTGATCAACAAAAATTGGTAATCTGCAATAGTAAATATCAATAGATTATATTAATTTTTATACGAAAGCACGAAATTTGTAAATGAGGTTATGTCTATGTAATCTTAAATGAGATTATGTCATTTGTTTACTATGCACAAACAGCTATATTAATTTAATACAAAAATTGCCTTTATCAAAAATATATAAATTTATAAATAAATATACTTTATAAAACTATAAAAATCCACATAATATATATATCTTAAAATATAATTTATTGCGTATAATAGAAAATTATTCACTATATATATAAATTGATTCGGATGTTGAAGAAAGATATTTAATTAAATTAATAATTAAATAAAGATAATTTAAAAAAAGAAAAAAAAAAGAAAATGAAAAAAAACAACTATATGAACAATGATTAACTACAATATACACAACACATACACAACACAGGGACATTGTATCAATATCAATATCTGAGAAGAATAACGTGGGCCAACGACCAGCCATTTCCCGCAAGATAAAAGTGCGTTAGAACAAGAGATATACGCGATGAGTTCATCCTGCCAAAGACAAGTGGGTGTCCTCAGGAAGTACAACACCGGAACCACGGCAAATTCTGGCGCTAACTCGACACTTCTCCAATATGACAATTATAAAACTGCCTTTTGTTAAATGAATAGTTGATGAGAAATTACATATTTAGCTAGAGAACGTATGGAAATATTAACGCAACAGATAATATATATAATCTAATTTTTGTTTTGTAAGAGAAAGATAGAATTGTATACGAATATAAGAGAAAAAATGGAAATATGAGAATAATCTATAGAATAATGTGAAAAGTACTTATTATAATACGTATGAAATTTAAAATTAGAAAAAAAAGTTGTAATTTTGAGATTATATCATTCGAATCAATGTTATTGTTAATGACAATATGTGAAAATCGATGGAATATTAAACCTAACCTAAATTTAAAATGTAGAGTCTTGTATATTGTGTCATAATTGAAACTAATTTTTTTTCTAAAGTATATATTTTTTTCTATTTTCTATATTTTATCCAGGTTATATGAAACATATTATAGAATAGACAAAAAATATATTTATCTCTTAATAATAACATTTTAGTCGAATATCTTATGTTTTTATAACGTACTATCTTTTTGTTGGCTATTGTAGCAGAATGAAGATAAGTCGATACGAAGAATCTAAAGAATTCAGATCTGAAGTAATATATTTTTAATGAAAAATGTAATAAGAACAATTTCATATTTTATTTTTTGTTACTATGTGCTACAACTTTTATAAGGATAAAATTACTTACATAGCATTCTTAGCGTTTTATTTCGCATAACTGTTTCTTCACGATAAGATGGACATTTGTAGGATGTTTCAGTAGGATGATCATTTTTTGCAATGAGTACTTGACACCAGACGATACATTGGCAGGGATCGTCCATCATAGATTCCTCATGAATTACAAGGTCTTTCAAAAATCATTTATGGGCTGGTTAACCTATTAATAATATCTTTTATTATCAATTATCCAAAAAATATATTAATGGAGTATATTTGGAATGAGTTAAATTTTCATTTTAAATTTCTTCATTTTTATTTAAAAATATATATATATAAATTTGCCGAAATTTGGTCACAACAGTATATATAAGTCAAAAATTTGATTAGCTGGAAATTCCATTATTTCAATATGCGAATAAATTATTTATAATTTATAATAAATTATTGCGTGTGAAACTTACGTAAAAACGAATAAAAAGACGAGTAAGAACATTGATATAGAAATATCAAAATGATTCATAAACATACGCGGCACACCGGAAGTCACTGAAGGATGTGTTGTTTCGAAGGATGGTGACCTCTGTCTCTCTGTCTACCTCGGGTCAATCGCCTTTTTACCAATTAACTCGATGACGTCGTAAATTGACCAGTAATTTCTAACCTGAACTTATTATATCTAAAAATTTAATTATTTACTAGAATTATTCGAAATATAGTACGATTAAAATATACAATTTTCGTTATATATATTTTTTCTTATATTTTTATATACTATTTATATATTATTTTATTATATATATAAATATTCCATATATATTTAATAAAAATATATTTTATGTATTATAATCTAATTTAATTTTAATTATCATTAATTCTGCACAAAATAGATTAATTAATCGATAATCGATAAATGATTTTTGATAAATTATTTCGTTAAACAGAACTCGAACAGAAATTTTTAGAAATCATTCTATTTTTTAATTAGTTAATAAGGTTAATTAGTTAATAAAGAAAAATAAAGTTAATTGGATATCAGAGTCATCTGTTGACTACGTAAATTTTGCAAAATAATATGCAATAAATTGCAAATAATATGCAATAGAAATACAATTAATGCAAGAAGGATAAAAATAAAGATAGGATAAAAATTGTTAAATCAACGCCATCTTCAGAATGCCACTGATGAAACAAACACGTAGATAAGAAAAGCAAATAGTGGGACTTAGAAATAGAATAAGAATTGATGTTCAACGCCATCTATTGATGATAAAAAATATTTCTTTAGAAATAAAGAATAGAAATTGATGATCTGCACTATCTTTTGAGTATTTTTGCAGAATCTTTTTGATATTAAAAAGATAGCGTTTGTTTTCAATTGTTATTCTATTTTAACTTGTTTTTAGAGAGATATCATTGGCAATAGATGGCGTTAACGATCAATTTTTATTTATCTTTATTCTTTTCTTATCATTTATTCTTTTTATCTTATTTCATCTGCGACACTGGCATTGATTCTACAATTTTTAACTTATTCCTATCCTTCTCTCATTTTTTGATTTTTTATTTTGATCTTGGTGCATGAGTATAAAATATAGGGTGAATTGAACACATTTAATATTATGCATATATATTTTAGGATACTTTTTAATTATTATGCAAAGAATGATTACGAATTTATCTATTTCCATATAATTTATAACAATTTATTTAGAACTTAATAATCTAACAATTCATTTAAAAAATTTTCTTTTACTTTTTTATGAAAAGATATACATTAATAATTTTATGAAGGAATATAAATATATTCTTAATTATAGTTAAAAATATCTTTATATTAAATATAATAAATATAAAATATCTTTTCATAAATTGATATAAATATAAATAAAATAAATAAATATAAATATAAAATAATAAATTAAATAAAGAAAGAAATATAAATATAAAATATAAATATAATAACATATTCTTAATCACAATTAAAAATATGTTATAGCTTTTTTTTAGAATTTTCTTGTTTTTAAAATAAATTATTAATACATATGTGTATTAATACATATGTTAATTTAAGCAGTAATAATATATGCATAATTCTTACTACGTTAAAATAAATTCCACTTATATATATTCATAATTTATTTTGGTGTAGCAGGTATTACACGTATATAAGGTATTCTGTGTCTTCTTATATATTTATTTAGCTTTGGCGACCGCTTTATATTTTCTAACAAAAAAAATTAGATACGTATTAATAATAAATTGTTATTGCATTAATTTTTATGATAAGATATAAATTTCATATTAAAAATTTATTATTTAAAATCTATTTATTAAAATTACTTACTTTTATTATTTTTATTATCTAAATTCGCAAAATATTGCCTTAAGTATTTTACTGGTTTAATCGGTGATGTACTTATATAATTTGATCTATTTCTTATATAGGGTGGTGTATAACTCTTTTGTGAATTATTAATTAATATTTTCTCATTTTGTTGTTCAGTATTTTCATCTAAAGAAGAATTATAATCATATAATAAAAATTATAATCATAAAAATAATGATGTAAATACATTTATCATAATAATTCTAACCTTCCATATATTTCGGTAAAGATACACTTCTCCGTTTTTTTTTTATTGGAGATTTTACTTTTTCATTATTTGGTGTTGCATCATTACTTTTTAATTTTAAAGAATCATCCATTGATAAATTATTTGCCTTTTGAAAAATTTCTTCGGTTACTTTTTTAACATCACCTGATATGCTCGAAGATATACTTTCATTGCTTATATCACTGGTAATAAATATATGATTTCTATATTTTTTTTCTCTTCTGTGAGAAGTGAAATTTCTCAATTTGTCTATTAATCTTCCAGACCATTTAGAACTATCATTTATCTGTGAATTACTAGAACTTTCATTGGAATTTTCTAATATTGTATTTATGCTTCTAGAATCTAATATATGCTGTGAAGATAAACCAATAATTTTATCAGGATCTTTTACATTATCGATAGTAGTTATAACAATATTACTAGATTTTTGTGTTTGACAAACTAAAAGATTATTATTTACTTCATCTGTATTATCCCAATTATCCATTGAATTGTCACTGTTTGAACTTCTGTTAGTCGAACTTACATTTGACTGTCTTGTGATTCCATTATACTTTCCTAAAATTTCCTCAAACATGTTTCTTAACAGCGTTCTTAATGGGATATATCCTTCATGATTCTCTTCTTCGATATTTGTATGTTGTGTATCTTCCAAATTATCTGAATTTTCTTGTTCCGAGTTCGAATTAATCGTAAAATTGGATAAAGGCTTTAAACTTGTGCTATCGGTGTGTTCAAATAACGTTTCATTTTGTTCTTCGACGTACGAATGATAACAACTATTATTGTTAGAATTTAACGTATTATCATCGACTGACATAAGCATCGCTTTGTTTAAACTTATTGAAGAATTTGAGCTTTCACTATAAACTGAATAGAATAATAATACTATTTTATTTTTAAAAAAATATTATCACTTTTTGATTTAAATGTTAATAATTTTTTTTTAATTTTTTTGATACAAGTCCTTAATACTCACAACTATAAGCCAAATCCATGGTAGAGTTCGTCGATTCCATATTTGTATCTTTTCCTGACTGTCTAAAGACAGTCGAAAACGACAGTTCCATGTATATTTTTTTTTTTTTTGACCTTCTGAAGCTGTTTCAATATATGTTATAACACTTAACCGTTCTTTGTATCTCGAGAAAGAAAAACGTTATATTTAGCCTTCCATATTCTATTTACTAACAAACATTTGTAACGTTATAATATCTATTAAAGAATTTCTATTATTAAAGAACAATAGCCAATAAAAATTATTATTAAAAAAAAAAAAATCCTAAAATCTAAAACAAGAATTGATTAAAATTATAATTTTTAATGTAAAAGTTGGAATAAAGATTTTTTTGCAATTAATTTTAAGTAATTCGATAATAATTTTATCATAATCAAATATGATTTGTAAAAAGAATAAAAAAAATGAAAACAATTTAAAAATGATATTTGTCAAATGAAACATCAGAATGTGATGATAATAAGGGACCAATAAAAAAAACAAGTGATCTTCTCAACTTTGTAGCGCAAGTGATATCATTTAATGCCAAGCAATCAAATAACATCGACATCAGATAATTGAAGGCATGGCAGAAAATTATTTTAACAATTATTCGTTCATTTTCTCGTAACTCGAGTTCGCAAAAGACGATAATGTAAAAAAAACTTTTAAACATAAATTTCATCTTTTGCTTCTTTCCTCTTTTTTCATATATATATATATATATATTTCACACAATGCAAAATTTCAATTATTTCTTTTTATACGCTCTAATTCATACACTCTTATTTAATATCACGTATATCATAAGAAAACACAATTACAAATTTTTCCAATACTGAATCACAAAAATAAGAACATATTTCTCTTGCCCTTGTACAAAAAAAAAAAAAGAGAAAAAGAAAAGAGAGACAAAAAAAACATTTCGTTCTTTCAAAAAAAAAAAAAATTAACGAGTGATTGCATTTGTTTTCTTTCAAGCTTCGCAATACGCTCTTGTTAACATTTATTACTAATAAAATCAAGAAAATAATCAGTCTAATTTATTTCGTAATCATGCTCTTCTCGTTCTTCTTTCTTCTTCTTCTAACCTCTGCTGTTAATTGGTTCGCTTCGCACTTGCTTTTCTTTTTTTTTTTTTTTTTTTTTTTTTTTTTCTTTCTTTAATGATATCCTTTATTGTCGCTATATTTACAAAAAAAAAAAAAAAAAAAAACAAGCGCGACGCGACCAACTAAAAACCGGGGGTCAAAAAAAAAAAAAAAAAAAAACAAGCGCGACGCGACCAACTAAAAACCGGGGGTCAAAAAAAAAAAAAAAAAAAAAAGAAATAAAGAAGCAACACTGATATATTGCTCGATTGACATAATCGATATAGTATAATTTAGTTTTACTAAATACGATGATTCCTTTTACGCTCTACCGCGTTTTATAAAAACAATAATGTCCGACCCGCGAAATTCGTATTTCTACATAGTGTAGTAACTAGAAAAATAGTTATAGTTTTCAAGATAATGTACATTCTTTGAAGTTCCTTGTCTTCCGGGATAAATAATGAATAATGATCAATGAAATAAAATCCGTGATTTTTTAATATATTTTAGAGAAGGGAAAGTTATTGATCTGAAGTCTCAGCAAAATGCGCGCGAAAATTTGAAATACACGCTATCAACAGATCCTTTCCATTAATACTAATAGTAATAATAATAGTAGTGATAATAAAATAATGATAATAATCATCGTTTGTTGTACAAATGATAGAAACGTCTTTCTACACACTAATACTTATACACATGTATAGATTTATGTATATGTACATATGTGTAAATGTAATGTATATATATATATATATAACATTTCAATGATGATCAACAAAATTTACTGGTGAACTTTTTTTTTTACGCAGGACAGTTGAAAACTAACGAAGGCAGAGAAAATTCGTACTCATTGGTCGTACTCATTGCAATAAATACAAATTTTCGAACGCTTTTTTTTTTCTTTTTCTTTTTTTTCCTTTTTCTTTTAAATATAATATACAACAATGTAACAGCATTTAGACGGGTCATCAAACCGAAGAAGTTGCATTCAGTGCATGTTGGGTGCAACCAATGTAAAAACGCATGTTTTTATTACATTCGAGAAACAAAAATAATAATAATAATAATAATAATAATAATAATAATAATAATAATAATAATAATAATAACAAT